GACTCTAGAAATGGAACATACTCTTATTCTGACATCATTAATGTTACATTAATCAATTGTAGGGACATATTCCTGTGCAATAGTGTTAACATATGACCCGCCGTCGTTTACATGTGTTTCTCGGTGGTTAAATCTCTAGGTGGGGTCTTGTTCATTTGTTTTGTGTGTTCTTGTCTTATTACTATCTTGAAAAATTCTTGTTTATAATTGATACCGTTTCACTATAAGCGCACTGATTAGAGAGCAAACTCCCTCTCGCATACCGTCTCCCATAAAATGCTGCTGGTTGATCCGGGGGTTTCTGTGCACAGCCTGAGTTGCCCTGTGTCAGAGGCCTGGAAAACTAACACTTCCTGCTCCTGCCCTGCCGTTCCAGGAGGAGATTACAGTGAGCTGAATAATTAACGAAAACAAGCTAGCAAACATCAAATATTGAAAAGGGAATGTTTATATGCTAACGATTAAGATGGCAAGCGAAGCACTTACTTGTCTAAAAGAGAGAGCTTGTCAGCCAAATGCATCTCCTCCTCCTTACCTACCTGGAATTTCACAACACTAAAGAAGCACCAGGAGTCCTTCCCCCTTGTCTTAAGCATTGTTCTGATAAATAATTAAGTAGGCTAAATTAATAATGAAGGCTGAACAACCACAGCGGTGAGACATCCTTTCGTGACCTCCCTTATGCCAGGGGCCCTTTAATCTAGGACTTTGCAACAGGTTTTCAAATAGGGAGAGTCACAGTTCAGCCATTACTATGTTATTAAAAGTTATTAATGAGCTTGATCAGAACGGGTGCTCTAATTACAGCATTACATTTAGGAAACAAAGCAACAAAACAACTCCCTCCATGCTCATTGCTAATTAGTAACTCTTCTGATTAGACCTCCCTACGTGTCTTTTGTCATGTTTTTCTGCCGCTGTTTTCTCTCAAAGGTGTGGACCTGCTTGCAAAGGAAGCTCTCTTGACCTCCGTGTTGACAACTCTTGAAAGCAGATGGCCAATTCTCTCCAGACTACTGGTAATTCACTCCACTTGATGGGATTTACAGGCAGCTTTGCATATTCTGCACTCATCCCTGTCACTTCAACTATCAAAGCGTCACATGGCCTTTCAGAGTGAACAAAAGCAAGGGTGGGGGGGGTTCAGAGAAGAAGGGATTGTGGCTCTTGCTCAGAAATTCTGCCACAGGGAATGTACAGTATCATATCATTGGATTGAAATTCTTGGTATACTGCAATAATGGAATCCTAAAAATGAAATGGGAGCAACTGGTACTTAGGAAGGCAAGAGATGAATATTAACACCTAAACTTGTTTTTGATACGGATGAATAAAATGGCACAAAGGCATGAGCTGATTTTTGGCCAAATTCATTAAGTACACCTTTTAAAGATAACATAGACTCTGCTTGTTTATTTAAAGTAATAGGCCTACAAGCCAAAAAAGCCTAAAGGCAAAATGCCACCACTGTGATGATTACACAAAATGCTGAATACACAGTCAACTGTGCCGAAAGGATATAAAAAAAAACCTGTCCAATTAATTTGAAAAGATGTGGCTCCCCATTACCATTCCATGATACTTAATTAATGGAGCACCAGCTTTTCAATGGAGGTAAATTAGCATTGTAATAAGACCTCAAACACTACATTGCTTATTTGGCTTGTGAAATATCGAGCATGAATTTGTCTTGAACCCGGAGAAAATTATCCCCTGACTCAGCAGTTTTTTAAGTGTTTTAGCGTCTTTCAGCACAATGTTTTGGTTTACAGCCCACAACTGTTTAGGTTGAGTCTCATGGCTCTCATCAGTGTTACTGCCAGCAGTACAGACATTTGATTTCAGCAACAAAGCTCTGATAAACCAATGGGAACATTTAAAAAATAACTAGTAGGGGTGTAACTGACCAAGAATACATAAAGTAAAATGTAATTGGTCAACTCTTGCCTATTTTAGACTGATTGTCGAATCGCATTGTTGTGTCTTTGTCCTTTTTCTAGGTGAACGAAGCAGTTTTCCTACGTGTAAAAAGTGCGGGACAGATGCCAGCCAGATACAAAGAACCACGTTTTCCCACCAGTGCGATGATTTGACTGTGAGATTGGCATTTCAATCAGGCTCTTTAGATAAAATATTTGAATATTTGGTGTGAACATGTCTGGTGAAATATTGTATTTCACAATATATGTACAGCATTTTGTGCTGCCCTCTAGTGGCCACAAAAAAACTGAATTTACCTGTCATACATGTTAAGTACTTCAAAGTACTTTCCAGCTTGTAATGTGCACCCACAGTATGACAGAACCAGTGCCACGCTTCCCCCCTACATTAAGGTATTTCTTGTAAGAGTAATCCGTTAAAACAAGTATATTTTCCTGGTTAAAGGATGTAGGAAATTCCAATCTAAAACAAATTTAAAATCACTTCTTTCCAACCATCAGTACTATCCCAGTATGCCATGACAGTGTGACAAGCGTGCCAGCTTGATCAATAACCTAAAACTGAATAGCTAAATAACATATTTATTATGTATGCTTTTGGCATGTCAGAAATGTCTTCAGAGAAAATCACTTCACTTTCAGTTATATCACTTCCTTAATACGTTGGCTGGTGACACAAAGGTTTCACAGTTCCTTTAGAAGACTTGTGAAGTTTTACTTTAACACTTCCTATGTATAAATTACGGCTTCCATTACCCAAACATAACATCAACAAATGCATTAATTTGCAAAAACATACAGCATGTAAAGAAATAAGAACACATTTTCTTTCTGTAACAGTTTAGTCGATCAAGATGTATTTTCCAGAACACTCCTTATAATGCATGTATCTCGGTGACACACTCTGTTCACCACAGACATCTCAAGACCAAGTCTATCCCTGGGCTCACCACAGAACAAAGATTAACTTAGTGTCAAGATCATTTTTGGATGCTCAGATCTGCCTCAGTGAAGCCTTCAAATGACAGTCATTCATGGCCATCCACAGATACAAACCAACCAGAATGCCAATCTTTGTCAACGCTCTTCCCTTTCTTTTCTATTCCGCCAAACAGAATCTCAGTCATCCAGAGTTCAAAGCCAGTACTGCTCAAACTGGTACCCCTATCCCCATTTTAATGACACTACAGCCCATAATTATCTGAGTCTTAGCACCGAGGTTACACGGAACTCATCACAAAGCTGTTTTTCCAGCCTGGCTCATTCTCCCTAGCTGAATACTGTCACACATTAGTGTTGTTGTTAAAGTGCATGATATGCAGGAAGGAGTGGATAATTAAGCCCGGTGCAATTACTGTGAGTTTTTTCTTTTATAGTTATTATTTCTGAAAGGAGTTTTTCACGACAGACCACGTGTCACTTGTTCTGTCCTATTAATTGTAATTGATGTTGGGGGCATGTGTGTGTACGTGTGCTTTGTTCTCAGTATATGCACTTAAGCCTCCTCAAGGCGTGTTGAATAAAAGCCTCGAGATGCATATGAGTGTCAGGAAGTGGGGAAAGTGTGTACATACAGGATGTGCACTATTATCAGTCACGAGCAGATCATCAGCACCAGCGACAACAACACTAAAGCATCCTCCAATATAATCATTATGGAGCATCTAAATAAACATATGCTCACACACCAAAAACCACTTCAAATTAACATATTAAAGACAGATCAGCTCATCGCATACACAACCACTGACATTGGGATAGATTAACCAATCAATCAATAGACTTTTTTTTTATTTAAATCTAAAATTGTGCATTGAGGGATTACACCAGCACTTTGAAGCTTTACTTTTAGGGAATTATCCTATTCTCAACTGTTGTATACCTTACCGGGGTGTCTAATTTCACATTTCTCCATTATGTTTTGTGATTTTTTTAACACATTTTTTAAAAAAAATCTAAATCACTAATAAATTAAAACCCTCACATGTTTGAGTTTTAGTTCATTCTAATTAGCTTATTATCATAATCAAATTAATTTTGAAATCCAAATGAGGTCTCTTGTTTCTTATACCATAGATTTGTTTTTCTTGAAACCTCCTGCCAGCTCTTTCTACCTGATGTTTGATATACATGCAGCACTCTCTTTAGATCAACATCCGAGCCTACCCTGCTGGTATTTGGAGCTGCAAACGGCAGTCATGATTCCATATTGACGTGTGGCTGTTATGAGCTATAATATCAATACTGCTCGTGCCGTGAGTGTGTGTGGAATCGGCTCGGAGCTATTTTAAGGGCTCAGACTTGGAACAGGCGACAGGGAAATATATGGCAGCACAGGCTGATTTACAGAGGGAGGCGAGGAGGCGCTGCAGCCCGGTCCGCTCCTGCTGCTTTTATCGCTCTGCACGGAGCAGAGAAAACAAGTTTACTGCTCGATGTCCCATAAAAGAGAACAAGTAGATTTTTATTTAAAGGAACACTTAATGGAAGGACTAGGATATAAAAAAGCCAATTCAATAAGATGTACGGTGCGTTTTATTGAAATTAAGGGAATTTAATGCATGATTAGTAGGCCTATAAATATCTCCAATTTGACTATAATGTAAGTGACAGATTAAGTACACAAACCTCAACTATCTCCTGTTAATAACAGTGTTGGTTTTATTATTGTGGCGCACACCGCGTTTTTCCCGCTTCCCAGTCCTTATCCAGCTACATTTCCCGTTAAAATGCCCCTCACTGCTGCTGTTTCTCTCGGATCGAAATCATTGATCCGTGCCTGTCAGGTGATAATTTTGACATGCCTCGCTGCCATGCTCCGAGACAAACTCAACCAGCACATCCAAGCAACCCCCCCTCCCCAAAGAAAACTCTGCATCCTCTCATCACGGGGCTTTTGCGGAGCTCAGGATCACACCGCAGAGTCCAAACACACGAAGGACAACGACTCACAATAATATCTTATCTGAGAGGTCCTCTAAACTTTGCAGAGTCAGAACACGCGTCTTTATTGTAAGGCACAAAGATGGCAAACTCTGGCCCGTATGATAGGACTCTCACCGGAGCAGTTCCAGCCGGTTGGCGTCTGGCAGTCGCTGAGGGAGGACGGGAAGGCGCGCAGCTGCTCCACAGGTAAAGTGGCGAGGAACGACACCAGGGTGATCCGGAGCCAAGCCTCCCGCCGTCCCGCTCCACTGGCGCGGCCGCCGGGGCTCCGAGAGCGGTGCCTGCGCCGCCACGGAGAGACCCATATCTCACTGGCCCAGACCGCACGGGCGAGCTGGGGAAGAGACGCAGACTCGCACCGACAACTCCAATCCCGGCAGGTTCAGCGGGGCGCCTAGAGACCGACAGCAGACCATTTTCCGAGCGACACCGTGCGCCCCATGTAGCAGTGCGCCCCGGGGGAAGAGTGGCTCCAAGGGGAGGCTTGCAATAAGAGGGTGGCGGTGGTTGGAGGTGGTGGTGTAAGGGGGGGGAGAACTGCCGAGGGTTGGTGAGCGATGGAGGGAGTGGGATGGAAAAGTTAGCCAGGCAAGGTAGAGGTACTTGCGGGAAGCCTGAGAATGCTCAAGGGTGAAGACAGGGAGGAAGATGAGAAGAAAAAAAGAAAAGAAGCGGGGGTGATACAAAAAGGAGGAGGAGGTAGCCAGAAAAATCCCACGGAGAGGTTTTCGGAGACGGTTGGGTGATAGTATCCACGGGTGACACGAGCAGAACTCCTGCACGAGCGGAGCGGTCCTCTCGTTTACTTTGTATGTGTGGTGCGTTCAGTGGCGCTGCGAGTTTCTCCCTCTCCTCTCTCTCTCTCTCTCTCTCTCTCTTACGCTCTCTCTCACTCTCTCTCTCACCAGCAGCTGGTTTCTACTGTGCTTATGATCACGTGATGTGAAAAGGGAGGGGGGGGGGCGGCTGCTCCTGTAATAATTGGAATATCTTACTGGTGGAAAAAGAGAGTTAGACAGAATGAGAGATAGGTGAAGAAGGAAAAGGGACCACAGTCCTGGTGCTATCAGTTGGTAGGTATTGGCTACACCCAGAATGGGGAGTAGGGAGGATAAGAGAAGGGAGGATGCACTTGCCTTTATAATTGGCTAGGAGCATTTAAAAGTCTGCAGAAATCGATTCGTCCAGCCTGGCCTCGGATAATTGCCCCGCTTTGAAACGACACAGACGCTATTTCTGGGTCTCTGCCTCCAGGCATTCCAGAGAGACCTCAATATTATTCATAATTTTTTTTGGACATAACCTCTCGGTGTCACAGCGGGGCAGGCAGATGCGGCCAGTAATTGACTTGCATTTTGGCCAGGAAAAAGACGTAGGAAGTGTACGGCATCTGTGCGGAGCTAAAGGGGCCAACATCAGGTTGAGAACACTCACCCTCTTTGAACCGCGGAAATTAGAAGCCATGCACATGGAAAAAGCCCAGGAAAACAAAGGGGCTGCTGTTAAGAGCCGTAAACGACTATAAAGACACTTGACCTCATGATTATGAGGAAGCAAAGCTGCAGCTGCCTGTAAAACAAATAAATCCTTTATTGCTTTTCACTTTAAGGTCATTACATGGGAATATCTGTCGTTTGTCTTTGGTAATGGGGTCATGTTTTATCTGCCGCTGCAACTAGTCGCATACGGACACACATACCTGCACGCTAGAGGTATATTTTGGCATCGTAATGAGGAAAAAAATATGGATTTCTTTACACACAAAACACACAAAGGTGCACCAAGACGAATCTCAAGTGTTGGTGATAATGATTATAAATGACTGTCACATGATGCCCCCCCCCATCAACAATCTCATGCTGCAACTCATCTCATGTCGGGGCTCCATTTGCACATTAGGAATTTCTTTAATTGAGTGTCAACATCTTGTGACACTTATTGGTTTAAGGCTATATTTGTATTCTCAATGGTGTCATTGAATCAAATTACTGTAATGTGAAGTGCCGAAGTTGGTGAGAATTCCCACTCAACACTGCTGTTCTAAAAAGGTTTCAAGCATCCTTTAAAGGGGACCTATCATGCAAAATGCACTTTTGTACGTCTTTTATACATGAATATGTGTCCCCGGTGTTCCAGGGAACTCACCAAGTGTCAGAAAACACAACCCTCTCTATTTTCCTCCATACCCAAATCTCTAAAAAAGGGTCTGCAACGGATCTGATAAAAACTGATCCAGATTTGAACACTGTCCTGACGTCAGGACGGTGGCACTACGGCTATTGGGCCAACTCTCCACCTATCAGGGGAATGTGGGGTTGGGCCACCGCCGGCCATTGCCGCTCGAAAGCGCTGGAGACGCTCGAAAGCGCCAGGCCTGTAAGTGGCGCTGTAGTCTGCCACAAAAGCAGCGAAGAAGACTTCCCGTGCATGGTTACCATGGTTACCCTTCTGTTTATTCTCCGCTGTGGCTTTTTTTCTCCCTCCCCGAGGCAAGCGTTTGCTCCTTCTGCTGCTTTAATTCAATGCAATCCCTCCCTGTTCGAGGCAAGCACTGTAATTCTCTCCGGTTAGTCCACCAGCAGATGACAAACACCCTCCTCTCCGCCTCTTCCAAGGAACGAGGGGACCGTGCGGCAGAGTTTCAGTAGTTTTTTCTTTCGCCGGTCAAGATGTCCGTTAAAGTTAAATCTTCCGGACAAAATTAGAAAAAGTGCCGGTCAAAGGTCTTCTTTGTTATTTATTGAGCTTTAAAACAAATGAATAATGACTCTATATAATAATAGGCTATAATAAAACACGGAGGACGGAGATCTATTTTTCTCCCCCTCTTCTGACAGCCCAGCAGCTGATCTCAGAGCGGCTCCCTCTCCTGCAGGGGGGCGTGGTCAGCTGCAGCTCACAGAATCAGCCCCCTGCAAAAACAGGGCTGGAGAACAGCAAATAGAGCGAAATGAGGCATGGCTAAAATGCATGATCTGTTTGGTATTTTGAAAACAGAAACGTATAAATATACCTTATATAGGTATGGCCCTACAATATATCATTTAAATATAGCATGATAGGTCCACTTTAAAGTAATAACCTTTAAGGTTTTCATTTCTGTCTAATCAATATTGCCCAATCATGTAACCTTATAGTGATGGAGCCTAAAGGGGCCCACACACCAAACTGACACCAAAGAACACGTCCCGACGGAACACGACTGTTGTGTCGCCTCACGTCTCCTGCGTCTTGGCCAACAGTCGCACTGGAACACACCGCAAAGACTTCAGCCAACGGCCAAGTAGCACGTACGAACTGCGCATGCGTGAGTGGCAATAACTCTCCTTACCAGCAGGCGGCGGTAGTGTGTATTCGTCATTCAAAAGAGGCAACCGGAAGACATACTGTGTGATATAACAAACAACAAATAGCGTGTGCGTTCCATTTTCACTCTACAGCGAGAAGCTCATGGGGCTTTCCCGAACCTGTGTCGAGAGCTGGAGTTAAATGAAATCTCAGATTTGCCTTCTTAAAAGGTCCCATGTCATGCTTTTCCAGTTATTACCCGTCCCTTTGTCTGTTATGAAGGTGTTTATTGCATGTAAACGGTCTGCAGAGTCACAAACCCTCAAAGTACACCCTGTAGCGAGTAAAACTTTAACACAGAAAATACCTGTCTATGCTGCCCCAGAACGCCTCGTTGGAGATTTCTCATTTTATTCCTGCGTACAGTGACGTGCCCATACCCAAATGGACCAATCCGTGGAGCCGTTACGTTAAGTCCGTGGATTGGTCCAAATTGACCAATCCGCGGACTTCCTCACACACACACACTCAATCTTTACTCAGCTGCAGCTCTGCCGATTTCTCCTCCCTGAGACGGCGGGACGCGGCGAGGCTGTGAGTCGGTGTGTGAGCACACACACCAGTGTTAATTTCGTCAACGAAAACTATGACGAAAAATGTTCGTCAACGACCTTTTTTACATGACTAAGACGAGACGATAACGAGCTAAAAATAGATTCTTGATAACGAAAATTTGACGAAATGTATTTAGTTTCGTTGACGAGACGAGACGGGACTAAGGTGTTAATGGTGGACTAGCGGACATTCAAAATGCAGCATATTTTCCCCCAATTGCCCGTCTTGTCTGTCAAAATGCATCTTACATTTCTAACTTGCAATATCATTATTTTCCGCTCTCTTCACTCCAGAAGAGCGATCTCTCTCTGTCTCTCTGTGTGCGGGGGGCGGGGCCTAACAGACACGCTGCAGCGGCACACAGAGATCTGCCGGGGACGGAGCGTTCGGAAGTATGGAGACACTACAAGGCTCGATGTGGACAAAGCTCGTTTGCCATGTTTTCGCGTTAGCGCGTTGACACGAGTAGAGTAGTCTGTCCAAACAGCCGGCCAAAAGGCGTCATATTCAGTCGGAGAAATGCACAATTTTCGACTTCCTTAACTCGTAGCTCTGTTGCCCCAATTACGAGTAACGTTATCACATCAGGTGTGCAGAGGTGGGAGAAGTACTCAGATCTTGTCGTTAAGTAAAAAAATATCATAGTGTAGGAAGAGTTCCTCAAGTCAAAGTATGATTATCAAAATATATTTAAAGTAGCGACAGTACAAGTAGTGATTGTGCAGATTGTTCCATTTCAGAATAATATATATGATATGTTTTATAATGATTGATCATTAAAGTGTTCTCAAAGCTGGTAAAAGGTGCAGCTAGTTTGAATGATATATTATATCTGTATACTGCAGGGTAGCTTGTGAATTTACTAAAGTCTGAGTTAACACTTGATTATTTCACATCATTCATCCACATCTGTAAAGTAACTAAAGGTATTAAATACATGTAGTGGAGTAGAAGTACACCATTTAACTATGAACTGTAGTGGAGTAGAAGTACACAGTAGCAACACATTTAAATACTCCAGTAAAGTACAAGTACCTCAACATTTTACTCAAGTACAGTACAATATTTTAACATAATTATATATATTAATTTATTTCACATTTTAAATAAAGCAATTAATTCGGTTAACAATTTGTTAGTTTTTTCCTTTAAAAAATAACAAAAAGTAAATACAAGAATACCGTTAAAGTACCGGATCGATAAGCAGTATTGATAAGACTAGTAGTACCGTAGAAAACCTTAGCGATACCCATCCCTAGATATTACACAAGTAAAGTGTTAAGAGAGTGAATGTTGCTTTACGAATGTCAACACTTGATGCTGTCACCTTAATTACAATGTCAGATACCTGTATTTGCCTAACTGAATTGGTTTTAAAGAGAGAAAACATTTTGACTAAAAGTTGACTAAAATGTAATTTTTCATCGACTAAAAGTAGACTAAAACGTTTTGAGTTTTCGTCGACTAAAACTAGACTAAAACGTTTTGAGTTTTCGTCGACTAAAACTAGACAAAACTATGAAGGATAGAAATGACTAAAATGTGACTAAAACTAATTACCATTTTCGTCTAAAGACTAAGACTAAGACTAAATCAAAAACAGCTGCCAAAATTAACACTGACACACACAAACTCCCAGCCAGGCTGCGGGTGTGTGTGTGTGTGTTCGGGCTGGGTTTCGCTGTGTCTCGCTGTCTCGCAGACGGCCACTGGGCTCATAGGGAGGAGGGGGGGGGGGGCAGGAGCTCCAACAAGCCGTTTAGGACAGAGAGTGAATACACATACTATACAGAGATGCTGTATGAGAAAAGCCATACTGCAGTGTGAATTTGAACAACTCATCCAAGTGCAGCGTCAAAAAGATATATATAATAAAAGTATTAACAGTTTGCAGCTG